ATTATCTAATTATCTTATTTTAAGAGTAAAAATACTCATTCCATTGGCAAACTACCTCATTTACCTACTCAAATTAAGGGTGAATACACTTGATTTAAGAAATGTATACTTATTTCTAGATCGTTTTTCCAGTGTACTGACGCTATATTAAAAAAAAACTCTGACATCCTTCAAACATCGTTTATTTATTTAAAGCTTTAGACGAGCAAATATAAAATTATCCCTTCTATATATATTGTCCACTAGATGGCAACATGGAGCAAGTGAAGCATCTTGATGTTTTGGCTCACAATAATCATAATTGAACTTTATTGATCTGACATTGGAGAAATTTACCTCTGCATTTATCCCATCCCCTTGCAGGGAGGCAGCCTGTGGGACTTGAACTCAGAACCTTAGATTCCAAGTTAAATTCCCTAACCACTAGGCCGCCACGCCCCTTCATAAGTGGGGGAATTTGCCAGAAAGCATCAGAGCTTTAAAAGCATTTATCACAACTTCACTAGAAGAGAACATCATCATGAGGTTTGGCTGGAGTTAGACGGATCAGTACAGGAAGTCAAAACTTCAAAATAAAGCACCCTCAGCCAAATAAAAAAAGATGACCTTTACATTCTTTAAAGAGGAGTTTCTTAAGCAGATGCTGGTTATAATTGTCGGTCATCCAGGTTACAGTCATTCCAAAAAGTTTGATTTCAAGTTTGAAGATGTTTCGCTTCCCATCCAGGAATCTTATTCAATTTAAAATGTCAGGAATAGCGTTGAGTTCAAGGCTCTATGGAGTGGACCTAAAACAAAGCCTCGAACTCAACGCTATTTCTGATATTTGTGGAGTATTGCAGGCTAACAAAGAAGCCAAATGACCCCCTTTCCAAAGGGATGGATCCATTCGTCCGTTTCAATTTCTGTGTTTTCTAAACATAAACCAGGCTTTGTCGGGCTGCTGGATAAAAGCATTTTGAATTGAAAAAGCTTCCTGGATGGGAAGAGAAACGTCTTCAAACTTGGATACAAATTGTAAAATTACAGATTGTTATTTAACTTTTTGGGAATTTCTTAAGCAGATTCATTAAAATATTAAACGGACATTGAAATCATAGCAGTAACAACTCTGTAGGCCAAAGGCCAAACTTTATCTTATAGATGCCTACAGTTTACCTTGAAAACCCTAAAAAAAGCAGGATGTAGGAGTTTGAAGATGCGGGTTAGTTGGTCAAAGCAGGTTTTTAGGCAAAGGAAAGAAACACTGTCAAGTTCCTGGAGAGTTTTTTTCCCATTGAGATGCTGGAAGGCATGAATAACATCTTCTTATTCTGTTTTTAGAGGCGGAGTGGGAGGGGCCAATGGAATTACTGGTGGGGGATGCAGATAGACCTTTTCCCCTTAGAGTCAGGATATTTCCCACTATCAGAGGACCATATTTTCTTGTCCAATCAGAGCGCAGAGAGACAAGCCCACACTCATTCAGAAACTGTATTTATCACCTCTGAAAAGATCTGTATATCTGGACCCAGAGGTTCTGTTTGACCGGTCAGATGTTCCACTGCAGACACAGGAACATGAGTAGCAGTGGTGTTCACAGACTTTCTGAAGGACAGGGGCAGAAAAACAAGCTCCACACCCCTGTACGGGGAACTTCAGAAGAAGTTTTTCAGTAGTTGCCCGCCACCGGTGCAGAACATTGACTAGGATCTTCCATCCTTGGCTCATATATTTGGTTGATAAGCAGTTAATTCTGGGTTTATTCTTGCAGGTTAAAGAAGAAAGAGTTCAGTCTGGAGGAGATTTACACGAACAAGAACTACGAGTCCCCCCCAAGCATCAGGTAAACCTGTGACCCGATAACAGATTCAAACTGGCCCTAAACAGGTTGGTTCATCTCTGGTTCAACTACTTTGGGACATCATCCGATCACAACAGGCCGATTTGATTTACCACAAAAAGTCTCACTTTGGGATTTATTTATATATTAAAAAATCTTTGTGAGGTTCTGATCGGTTAGTATTTCTCTGCTTACGTCATCAGAGGCCCTCGGTTTCTCACATTAGCCCCATTTCCACCACCCAGTTAACCTTGCCAAGCTTGGTTTCTAATGACCATTTCCACACCAAGCTAGCACGGTTCCGCGCCTCCTAGAGAGGATCTACGGTACTACTGCTCTCTAGAGGGAAAGAAGCAAATCAACATGGCGGCGCCCGTAGCATTCAGGAAGTTTGGTTATAATTGTGATATTTAGTCGTTTGAGGAGAGTCGGGCAAAGAACGCAGCCTTTGGTGAATTTACTTGACAGAGTCGGCTTTTGGGAAGTGGATACGACAAACTATTGTCTAATCAGGGCTTACAGACGCAGGAAACAACGACAGACGTTGAGGTTCATCACACTGCTAAGCAGAATCATCACTGGAAATCGTGCAGCACAGTGGGGAAGCTGGGATTTTTCTGAATGTCTGAAATTTCATGGTTACAGAGGCTGACTGTAAGGAGATGACGCCGTCTGCTCATGCACTCTTTGTTATCTGAACTGAACCATGCCGAGCACTACTGAAGAACTAGTACCACGTTAGCGCTAGTGTTGCCATTTTTTGGCCCAGACATCGATACCCGATACCTGGCTGTACAGTATTGGCCGATACGTTCAGTTTGAAATTGATGTTTGTGTTTCTATGACAGGGTTCCCGCAGGTCCCTAAAAAGTCTTAAAAGGCATTGAATTCTTCAAAATAAAACTAAGGCCTTAATTGGTATTAAAATGTCTTAAATCAGTCTTTCGTAGGTCTTAATTTTTAAAACATCATAAATAGGATTATTTTTATTATGATTTATTTTTTTTAATCTAAATAAAACATTAAAATTTACCTTTTTTTTTTTATTTAAAAAAATAACGGCTGGCCATTATTGGTTCCATCCCGATAGCGGAACCAATAAAGCGTTGTTGCGGCCGGGACATTTGGGAGATGCACCATTAACTTTTTGTCTGGAAAATATGAGCAAGTGTAAATGTAACCAAATTGTCTCCAGCCAAGAGTTTCCTCCATGGCTAAAACCAGGGAACATACATGAGGCTCAGTGGATTTAGTGCAAGAAGTCATTCAAGCTCAGAACGATGGGAATTAAGGCAGTGGAGTCGCACATGCGAAGCACGAAACAAAGCGTCAAAATGGAGTTAGAGAGAAACAGCCGGTATTTCTCAGTTTAGTTCCACCCTTGTCTCTGCAACGCCTCCACTTATCACCAAATCAAACATACTAAGAAAACCATACAAAGAAAAATAGCTGCTAAAAAGACTTAGCACTGGTTATGTTGTGGCTTTAAAACTGATTTGTTTTGTTCCCTGCTAAAACAAAGTTTGTGAATTCAGTTAAATAATTGTTAAAATATATCTGTCATTTGTGTGTTTTTAGCTTTCTTCCTGTATGGGAAGCTTTTCAACATTTGAAACATTAGTGCAGCGGTTTATGTTAAAATAAACCTTTGGGTTAAGTTGTTGCAAGCAGTTTTTTCTTGTGTTTCTTGTGAATTTGGTCTTAAATTTTTATTTCAAGTGGCATTAAAAAGTCTTGAATTTAACTTGCCTTATACTGCAGGAACCCTGTATGAAGAACTGCATACTACTTTGATGTAAAATAATTGCCATCATGGCTTCAAGCTGCTGCCTACTTTTGTGAAGCAGGAAAAAGATTAAAATAAAGTGAATCCAGTAGAACTTTTTATTGCCTACCTGGAATGGATGACAATAGTTGAAGAAACTTTTGGCTCTAAAAATGGTATCGGTGCGCTATTAGTTGGTACCGAGACCACCATTTCAGTGCTGGATCGGGGCCCTGCCCAATACTGGTATCGGTGCAACACTAGTTGGCGCTGTTCAGGTATGTGTGCCATTTACACTCAATAGTTATCTGGGTTACCGCGCTCGGACTGATCTCGCCACGGTTTCAAAACGGTAATGGAAATGGGGCTATAGACTCGCTCTCCCAGCATGCTTTGTTTGTGTCTTTCAGGAGCCTTGAAACGATCTTTGAGGAGCCTCGAGAAAAAGACGGAGCGTTGCTCCTGGTTGGCCAGCAGAAGCGGCGCCGACTCCTCCTCTTTCCTGATTTCACTCAGCCGAGGAAGAGGAAGAAGCCCCAAGGTACGCCATGAAACGTTGTTAACTGTTGTTTTTTTATGGCTGTTCAGACATCATCCATTTTGTTTCCTGTTTTGATTCAATTAAAAAGTTCAAAAATACTTTATTAATCCCAAAGGGAAATTAAATCTTAAATCTTTTCCTTGAAGGGGTGGGACTTCCTGTGTCCTTGATGCCCAGAAAACGAACGGCGGTGCGACGTCAGAACCACGGCGGAGGATCCGACGACGGCAGCGATCTGGACGTGATGCTGGTGGAGCGGCTGAGCGAGCTGGAACACTTCCTGACGCAGCAGGGCCTGGACGTGTGAGCCCTGTGTGACATCATTTCCTGTTTTCCAGGGGTCAAGGACAGTAGGAAGACGTTTTTTCCAGAGGGGCAGTCTGTAAGGGGGAAAATGCACCCCCGCCTGCCTGCCTGCTGCACTCTGGTCCACTGTGGTTTGCTGCAGTACTCTGTAGTACGGGGTAGTACTCTGTGGTACGGTGCAGTACTCTGTGGTTTGCTGCAGTACTCTGTGGTTTGCTGCAGTACTCTGTGGTTTGCTGCAGTACTCTGTAGTACGGTGTAGTACTCTGCGGAAGTACCTGCAGTGTTTTGAACTGTGATGTTTATTTCTGATGAAAATGGTATTTTTGGAACAAATAAAGTTGGATTGTTTTTTCTCTGAAGCTTTCTGACTGTTTTGTTCGATGACCGTCTCTGCTGTAACCTGGACTGACGTGAGGCTCCGAAAAGTTCTGCTCTTCCTCCAAGAAAATCTGCAGTCTGGGAGAATTTCCTGCTGAATTTAAGAGCATTTTACCTCTGTGCCAAAGAAGGATATGATTCATCAAGGTTCCCAGAAAAACTGGACCCTTAGAAGCAGGAAGCCGACAGAACGGAGCTAATAGGAAGGTTGATCAGAGGTATTTATCAGGCTGAGGGGAGGGGATCCATGCAGGGCCCCATGGAGGAGGGACCACAGCTGGATTAAAGCTGGTTTGAACACCTCCACCTGTTGAGCCCCCTTTTCTTTTTTTGGTTGGTCGTTGGTTCCAGTAAAGCAGTAAAATGTCTTAATTCTGGTTCCGTCTACAGGGGAAAGTTTCATCCCTGAATCATCCAGAGGTTAAAAAGGTTAAAGAGGTTTTCCCAAAGCCTTTTAGCAAATTTGTCGGCTGTTTTATCTAAACTATCTAATCTATTCATCTATTCCACACCTAAATAAACACTGATGGATTTCTAACCAACAGAACCTTCTTCTTTTCTGTTATGGAGATTTAAAAGCAACTTTAAGGTGCATACTTCTACCTACCGTACATGAGTGTGTACAGTAGCAACATTAATTTACATCTATCAAAATCTAGTTTTTAATTTTGTATTCTAAAGCTAAATAAATAATGCNTGCAGTACTCTGTGGTTTGCTGCAGTACTCTGTGGTTTGCTGCAGTACTCTGTAGTACGGTGTAGTACTCTGCGGAAGTACCTGCAGTGTTTTGAACTGTGATGTTTATTTCTGATGAAAATGGTATTTTTGGAACAAATAAAGTTGGATTGTTTTTTCTCTGAAGCTTTCTGACTGTTTTGTTCGATGACCGTCTCTGCTGTAACCTGGACTGACGTGAGGCTCCGAAAAGTTCTGCTCTTCCTCCAAGAAAATCTGCAGTCTGGGAGAATTTCCTGCTGAATTTAAGAGCATTTTACCTCTGTGCCAAAGAAGGATATGATTCATCAAGGTTCCCAGAAAAACTGGACCCTTAGAAGCAGGAAGCCGACCGAACGGAGCTAATAGGAAGGTTGATCAGAGGTATTTATCAGGCTGAGGGGAGGGGATCCATGCAGGGCCCCATGGAGGAGGGACCACAGCTGGATTAAAGCTGGTTTGAACACCTCCACCTGTTGAGCCCCCTTTTCTTTTTTTGGTTGGTCGTTGGTTCCAGTAAAGCAGTAAAATGTCTTAATTCTGGTTCCGTCTACAGGGGAAAGTTTCATCCCTGAATCATCCAGAAGTTAAAAAGGTTAAAGAGGTTTTCCCAAAGCCTTTTAGCAAATTTGTCGGCTGTTTTATCTAAACTATCTAATCTATTCATCTATTCCACACCTAAATAAACACTGATGGATTTCTAACCAACAGAACCTTCTTCTTTTCTGTTATGGAGATTTAAAAGCAATTTTAAGGTGCATACTTCTACCTACCGTACATGAGTGTGTACAGTAGCAACATTAATTTACATCTATCAAAATCTAGTTTTTAATTTTGTATTCTAAAGCTAAATAAATAATGCTTTCCTTAATCATTAAATATCCTTTATATTTCCTTCATTGTATTCCAATATGGGCTGCTTAGTAGGTGCAGTGGGTAGCACTGCTACCTTGTAGCAAGAAGGTTCTGGGTTCGATTCCTGGCCTGGGATCTTTCTGCATGGAGTTTGCATGTTCTCCCTGAGCAATCATGGGTTCTCTCTGGGTACTCTGGCTTCCTCCCACAGTCCAAAAACATGATTGTTAAGTTAATTGGCTTCTCTAAATCCTGTTTAGGTGTGAGTGAATGGTTGTTTGTCCTGTGTGTCTCTATGTTGCCCTGCAATGGACTGGTGACCTGTCCAGGGTGGACCCCGCCTCCCACCCACAGACAGCTGGAGATAGAAACCAGAACCCATTGGATTAAGTGTGTCAGAAAATGGATGAATATTCCTTTAAGACTCCATTCTTAGCCTGTCCTTCCAATCATTTTTCTCAATTTCTCCCTTTCATAAGTTTTACAGTTAATCAGTACAGTTTCAACATTTTATTTTCCTTCACATCCATCACGTTTATCATTAGTTGTCCTCCCTATTAAGTTTAAATTGTCATTTAAATAGGAATCACCCACTCTAAATCTGATCATTATTACTTCTTCCCTTCTGTTTCTCTCATTAATGTTTCTATTTAATATTGACTTTATACAATTATCTTCCTTTCTTATCTTTATTCCACCTTTTTTTTTAGCCATTTTTCCATTTCTTTAGTCTTAATAAGAGATTTTCTTTCCCATTTACCAACGGAACCTTTTCAAGTTTCCTTCTTTAATAATCTCCCTGGAAGTTAGGAGACCACTAGGGGGCAGCACTGCGCCTGCGCGACCTCTTTCGGTGAAAGAAGCCTGACAACATCCGGTGACGTGATATCCAAGGGAAAAGATGGCGGCCGCGGTGAGGCTGTTAAGGGAAGCATCCAGGACCACCTTCAGGTAAACTCACCTGTGCTTATCAAACACATCCCGCCGCTGCCTTATCTGTTACGTCACCGATATAAAAATAAGCCGAAAGTTCGATAAGTTTCAGAAGGAAACGGAAGTAACCCGAGTTTAGGTTTTAGACGGAAGTTAAATAAGATTCAGGCTGATTCTCAGCAGATCTACCGAACCACGGTCCGGTTCTGACCCAAATGTTCGTCTGAACAAAAACACAAACCCGCTGATTATTAGATCACTTAGCAGCAATAAGAGGAAGATGTTTTAATGGCGGTTGACCTTAAACCAGAGTTTCTGCTTTGGATGTTTCAGATGTTTCTCTGCTGTCATCTGGATCAGCTGATAAAATAGAGAAACATCTAAAACATTCAGAGTTAAAACATTAAAAAATCTTTTGCAAACTCTGGAGTCATTTGTTGTTTACAGTAAAAACAAAGTTGGATTATGAATTAAAGCTATTCTACACCTTTTCACCACTTAAAATTATATTTAATCTGCTCTAATAAAAAAAAAATACAGTACTGAGACTCTAGATTAAGGGTGGAATCATTTAAACTCACCTTTGAGTTTATGAAGATCAAATCTGATTTGATAAAATTCAGTAAAAGGACAAATTAGGCCACATTTCCTGCCGGCTTTCTTTAATCCCAACAGGTCATCTAACAAACACACAGTTTGTTCTCTTTAATTCCAGACTATAATCTGTAACACCCAAAAACTTGTTGGATTAATTGTGTGACTTTAGGGATGATCGATGAATCTATTTTATTGATTACTTGAATCAATAAAAGTGCACAATTTCATGTGTGAAAAGACATTTTTAACCCCTTAAGTCCAGAGGGTTTTAGGAGTAAATTCCGCCTGAAATTATACGTGAACTAAAGCAAGAAAAGCAAACTATAAATTGGAAATACACTATTTTAAATGTCACCATGTCTGATTTATAGGTGATTAAACAAAGAAAAAATTAAAAATATTTAGCCTGACATTTTTTTCCCAAAATAAAAACTGCAAAACACCATGAGAGCCCATTTGAAACTGGATGAAGCCTCAGACTTTATAGATCCACATCTTGACTATAACTCAAGCTAATTTGGACTAAATATATATTCATGCATATTTGTTTCACAAAGGTTTTAGTGGGCAGTATGCTAGGAGGAAATGGGATTTTAGCTCAGTGCAAAAATCTATTTTTCGACTAATAAAAGGGAATCTGGTTGGACAAATATGCTGATTTCCATTATTGGAGACCTTCTGCATAAGTCAAAGCCTTTGCTCCTAAGATTTAGCCGTTATTTCATTCAAAGTTACCAATAATATCACTAAACTGAATAGAAAAATCTATTCAGTTTATTTCTATAGCGCCAATTTACAACATGTGTCATCTCAAGGCGCTTTACACTTTTTAGAAAATAAGAATAACAGAGCAAGCTTATGCAACGCTTGCGTTACATCAGGTTACATCACCTGAAATGGTCCAAATTACCTCTGACACCTCCTTGGAAAAGTCTGAGCCTAAAAAAATCATTTTGAGACATGTTTTAAATCCTCATTTGAAAAGCGTGTGGATGAAACACCATGTGACCGTGTTTAGGACATTTCTATAAATAGATAAACATGCATGTGTCAGTTGGGTCCTGTACCGAGCCCGCTGGGTTAAGGGGTTAATGGAAATAAGACATTACAGAGTTATCTCTAATGCACCGTCCAAACATATCAATGACATAAAGACTCCCGCTGATAACAGCAGGTCATTGACTGCAGGATCCTGGCAACAGTGAACATTATTGAGGCAATAATCAAACCGTCTAATCAGCATCTGGATAAAGACACCCGTTATGTCACCAAAGGAGGATTTCTGCTCTCTAACAGATTTAGGAATATTTGTTTTATAAGGTTCAGTAATAAATGGGTATCTATTGCAATAGAGCGCTGATCAATATTCGTATGAAATATAACTGATAAAATGTTGGAGAACTCCACCGACCTTTGATCCCGAACACTCGATATTCTGGGAGGTGATTTAGCCTCTCTGCTCACAGCCAAAACAATCACAGCGCTGAGCTATTTTTAAAAGTCATGTAACTTTGGGTTCAGCTTTTATAAAAGTGGGAACAAGAACAGAATGTCCCTTCTTTCAGCTCAAATGTCAGATTTTTCTATTCAAAACAAAGATTTTCACAGTCAAATTAAAAATGATTTAATTACACAACAATTAAAAAAACATGTTTACGGAAGA